ATGGAGCAGTTAAGGACCATCCGGGATGCAAGCCAGGCAGCTTACGACGCCAGTTCTGCCCTTCAAAGCAATGTTCAGGTCAGTCGACCATCGCCTGTTCTGTTAGGATATGCTATCAAAAACTTTTCTTTCCAGCATCTATGGTAATCACTCAGTGGGTGTGTCGATTTAGACTCCGTGTTAGCGGGGGCACGCTGAGTGCACCCGCTGGGTGTAGTCCCCAAGGCTAAGGTCGACTGCTGGCAGTCGGCCTTAGGCTTTATAATTTCAGTATTTCCGTCATCCGACTATGGCGAATGGATTTCGAAAGCCGGTCGACTGGTCGACTGGTCGACTCTGTCTTCAATAGGATTAGTGGGGGCTAATGATGGAGTCATGTACCTAGGGTAGGGTCACAGACCTGATCTAAGTACCCTGCCCAAGGACACCCTTAGAAGAGGTCACCTTCCAGTCGACCAACGAGGGACTCACTCGACTGACTTGAAGGACTCGGCCACGAAGACTCACTCGACTACCAGGAGGTCAAAAGGCACTCTGCACTGCAACGGCCTGTAGTTAAGTAGACTTTATGGTAGTTAAGACACTTTATGTGGGACGTTACCAGTAACGCCCCGGACTTAATGTCCCTTAAACCCTTCATTACGTGGGCGGGGTGGGGTCCTGGCGCACTCTATATAAGCCACCCCCCTCCACAAGCAGAAGGGTTCGGCACCCTGTAACTCATATACACACAATCCACTCGACCGCCTCCGGGCTCCGAGACGTAGGGCTTTTACTTCCTCCGAGAAGGGCCTGAACTCGTACATCTCTTGTGTTTACAACTTCTCCATAGCTAGAACCTTGCCTCTCCATACCTACCCCCCCCACTCTACTGTCAGACTTAGAACCACGACAGAGAGTCAGGGCCTATCTTGTTTTATGTTATTTTACCTAAGAGAGTGTAGTAGGTCCTATTAGAGAGGAGTAGGCCGGGTACAATGTGTTATTATGTGGTACAATGTGTTAGAGTTGATGATGAGGAGGAGGAGGGGTTGTGATTATGACTAGTGATCAACTTGCTATATGATGTCTCATTGATAAAAATGATAATCATGAGGAGGTGTTATATGACAATGATGTATTATGATGATAAGTTGTTAATGATATGATGATGATGATGATGATGATGATGATGATGATGATGATGATGATGATGATGATGATGATGATGATGATGATGATGGTATTTATTATATCATTGGGTGAAAGAACCGCGGATTAGTTTCAGGTGGATGTCCATCCACTTGAAACTAGTTAACGGTTCTTTCATCCAGTGATGTAATAACTCATTATGATGTAGAAACAATCTTTAAATTGCTACTGTATGAAAACTTGTATAAAGGTGTATGAATACAACATGAAATAAAAAAGAAATAAAATACGAAATAATAGTAGTAGTGCGGGCTGCAAGAAGCGCTACTACTAAGTGGATATAGCAGTAGCGTGGGTGGATCCACGCTACTGCTAACCTTTAGCTGTAGCGTCGTAGCAGTAGCGCTGTCATCCGTGTTGATGGTAGGCCAAAAACCCGCACTACTGCTAGGCTTTTCTCTAGTAGTGCCTCTTTCGAAAAGGGAAAAAAACTCGTGCTCCCGGTTCAGTTTTTTCATGATTTTTTTTCATCAAAACCTATCAACATGGGATCTAGTTTCGAAGATCTCGATGCGAGGAAAACGGTTCAAGATTTGGACGCATGGTTTAAGAGATAAAACCTTTTGAATAAACAAATCTATAAAAAAGGAAAACTTCCAGGTTGTGACAAGTGGCGCACATGCAGCGCGCCACTTGTCACAACCTGGGAAGGTGGGAATGATCTTTGCAACGAGTATACCTCACACAAGGAACAAACGAGCAAGCCAATTTTGCCCGGGCCATTTAAACATATATTAAGAACATGCTAATAATTCACCTGAAAAATGTTAAAGATGTATAAATGTTTTTCTCGTCTGTATAGCAAAAATGTACAATATATACGAAAACAATAGGCATCAAAACATTTATTCGAATTTTTTAATGATGTTTTAAAATATATTCTTAGCGTACACTAGAAATGTACAATATGTAAAATGTAAAATGTGCTGGAAAAAAATAAAAAGAAAGGAATAAAGAAAACTATAGAATCCTCGCAAAAAAAAGAAAAATATAGAAAGAAACAAAGAAAACCAATAAAAACCGAATTGTAGAAAAACAGCGATCGCTACCACATTGATCGGAGACCCCCTAAAAATTGGTAAGAATTCAAAAACTACACGTTGTAGTTTCTTGTATTATTTGGGTTGAAGAACATCGAAGATCAATATGTGTATTATGATGCTGAATTTAAAAATATAGTAATACACTAGCAAATATGCCCGTGCGTTGCAACGGGAGAAAAAAATGCATGCCTCGTAAACACAACGACATCAACAAACCCCTTAAAAATTTCATGATGCCACACAACAAGCAACATGATAAGTGGTGTTGTGCAAAAACATAAAGGTGTGATGATTTTTGAAGTGTACTCAAGGTGTTTAGAATTCATTATACAACACAAATATCTACCTAGTTGCCAGTATATGTTTACGCATTTGTTGTTGTTTCTCGGTGATGCCCAAAAAAATATTGCATTAGAATGAAAATAGCAAAGTACATTTAAATATTTAATGACAACATGTGCAAAGGAGCATTATTTTTGTCATATACTCCCTCTGTCCGAAAAAGCTTGTTCCAAACTTGTCCCTCAAATGGATGTATTTAGCACCAAGTTAGATTTAATGATGATAGCATATTTGAAATCTACGTATTTTGTGTGTGTTTACAATCATAATTCAGTTACTTAATTTGGTTGCAAATATATTGGATAGCTCCACCAAAAACAACCAATCTATAAGGACATATGCAATAGGCATTTCTAAAATATCTCATCATATAAAGAAGGTATTGTTTAAGTTTGCACCCTGAACATAATTTTAAAAATTAATGATGATAGCATATTTGGAATCTACGTATTTTGTGTGTGTTTGGCATCATAATTCAGTTACTTAATTTGGTTGCAAACATATTGGATAGCTCCACCAAGAATAACCAATCTATAAGGACATATGCAATAGGCATTTCTAAAATATCTCATCATATAAAGAAGGTATTATATAAGTTTGCACCCTGAACATAATTTTAAAAATTAATGATAATAGCATTTTTGGAATCTACACATTTTTCTGATGAATTTTCATATATGACATGTCACACTGAGTTAGGGTTTTAAAGATATGAAATTTCAAAAATAACCAATCTGTAAGGACATATGCAATAGGCATTTCTAAAATATCTCATCATATAAAGAAGGTATTATTTAAGTTTGCACCCTGAACATAATTTTAGAAATTAATGATAATAGTTTTTTTGGAATCTACACATTTTTCTGATGAATTTTCATATATGACATGTCACATTGAGTTAGGGTTTTAAAGATACGAAATTTTCAAAAAATATTTGATCTTTTAAAGAAATTAAAAGAAAAAGATGGAGGGTGTGGGTATCGAACCCATGACCTCCAGCGCGCTAGGCCGAGAAACCAACCAGTGAGCTGTGTTGTACATGCGGGGATCTACACCTTTTGAGTGATGGGCTAGCGCGGATAAAAAAAACAAACGTTTTTCTCACTTAATGGTGGCATTGGTGGGTAATTTTTTGCAACTTTAAGGGCAGTTTTAATGACGGACGGGCTAAATAAAATCATAAAACGAGCTATATAGATCTCCTAATAAAACCTTTATGGAACCTACAATTAGTTTTGTTCATTATTTACGGATGTGTTTTAATTTTTGTGAACATTTTCTAAAAGCTGATGGACATGATTTTTAAATTCCTGAATATGCTTTGAATATTGGCTCATTTAAAAAAATCATGAACATTTTTTATTTCATGAAATCATTAGAAATCATGATTTGTTTATAATTTTGAGCAATTTTTTAAGTCATGAACATTTTTTGATTTTTAGAATATTTTTTAAATTCACAAACAGTTTACCATTTTCCTACTTTTTTTCAGAACTCGCAATTGTTTGATATTTTGGAAATCCGAAATTAATTTTGAGATAAAAAACCAAAACAGAAATAAAAAAGTAAAAAAGAAATAAAAAATAGGGGGCGCCATCAATCCGAAATTTATTTTTAGGGAAAAAACAAAATAGAAATAAAAAAAGATATAGAAAACAGGGGGCGCCACGACCCGCACATGGGCTGGCCCATTACTGCGCTTGGTAAAAAGAAAGAGAAAAAGCGTGAGAACCAGGGATCGAACCCTGGTCTCCTGTGTGGAGCATCGTTGCCTTAGCCATCGCGCTGCTCATGCATTGGTGCTATTATATCGTATCCACCTTTAGTAACAGAATCCTGGAGCGATATTAGAAATTAAAAACGAATCGTTTTTGCCACTTACGGGTGGCATTGGTGGGTAATTATTGCCAACTTCAAGGGCATTTTTAATGACGGACGGGCAGAAGCACTATTTGCTTTATTAGTAGGTAAAGAGGTAAAGATAAAGATAAAGATATATATATATATATATATATATATATATATATATAATTGCAAGGAGAACTGGGAACAAATTCGTTCATTAATAATGAATTTGTGTTTCATGCTAACCAGCAATCCCTTCCAGCTAGCTTCGTTCGTATTGTATTTTGAGTTCTTTTACATAGGTTTCGGTAAATTTGTGGTTCTCTGAAATTCGCTAAACAAAAAATATCAGTTCGCATCCGGACGTCCTCCAAATCCGGCGAACCAAAGCCCTAGCGCCGCGCCCCGAAATCGCCCGCCGCACTTATCCGCCGACGTCGCCGCTCCACTTCACGCGCGGCGGCCGCCGTCGCTCCTGCTCGGTCGCACGTAAGCACTTCCATATCACGCGTAAATACATCCCTGAGGAATACCATCTGACCCGCATTGGAACAAAGCCGATCCAGCAAGAGACGCGCCATGGCCGGGGACCCGCGACTTCCCGGCGGCATCGACCGGATCAGCGGCCTCACGGACGACCTGCTCGGGCACATCCTGTCCTTCATGCCGGTCTGGGACGCCGTGCGCTTGTCCGCGCTCTCCAGGCGGTGGCGGGGCGCCTGGACCCACGCCCCCGTCCTCAACATCTCCGATGAGCAGCGCCCCGACCGGTTCCTAGACTTCGCCGGCGCCGCGCTCGCGCGGTACGGCCAGCCCGACATCCCATCGCTCGACGTGACCATCGGTCGCCGGTCCAATCTCGGCCCCGCCACGGCCGCTTGGCTCCGCGGCGCCATGGAGCACGTCGTCGGATCTATCTGCGTCAAGGTGGACCGGCACACCCCTGCGCTGGATCAGCTGGTTCTGCCACGCAGCCTGCGAGCCAGGGCCATGACCTTGGACTTGAGCGGCGATGTCCTCTCCAAAGGCGTGCTCGTCCTCCCGGAGCCTGCCGAACCTGCCGCTTTCCGGCGGTTGACAGAGCTGAGCCTCTCCAGCGTGCGTCTGCAGGTGCAGGCAGACAGGCTTGGCGAGTTCTTGTCATCGTGCTTCCCCCAGCTGAGGAAGTTGCGCCTTCGCAAAGTTTGCAATGTGGCCGCGAAGCCGAGGCTGTGGCCACTGATGCTCGACATGGACATGCTCGAGGAGCTGGAGGTCGACAGCATCCACCAACTATCGGTGCTGCAGGTGGTGGCTCCCAAACTCCGGCTGCTGACCGTGAGACACAGCTTCGAGAGTCTGGCGTTGCTCCGCGCCGACATCGTGTTCAAGGTCTCCGCGCCTGGGCTGGAGGCGATCAGCTGGACCGGCTGGTTCCCGAAGCAGCTGAACTTCCTACCCGACGCGCAATGTGTCCGTCGACTGTCCGGCATCATTGTCGACTGGCCCAGCATATCGTGGGCTGACTACTGCTTGCCGGGTGTCGTGCAGTTGCTCGAGACATGCTCTGGAGCTGACCGGCTAGATCTTTCTGTCGACATCTATGATGGATGGATTCCATCCATGGTATCAAAACAGGTAGGAACACAAATTTAAGCTAAGTGTAGCTAGCTCTGCAGATTGCAAACTGGATAAATCATCACAAATGCACATGTGTTTTCATGTTTTTGTTTTGTTTTTGCCTGTGTGCAGGACTTCATGGAACGCATGCCACACCTTCCCAACATCAGGACACTTTCCCTGACGATCGTCACGATTCTTCGATTTCTCCGCTCTCCAATTGGTGAAATTGTCTTTTGCTTCCTTAGGCGATGCCCGAACCTAACTCTGCTTCACATCGATCTATCGACGCTGCACCAGTTTACAAGGCAGGATCCGCATTGTCTTGTGTTTCCGGTAAGTATGCACCTGATATTTCCCAATGACTTCTATTCGTAAACTGACCATGTTAGTCTATTTATTAGTACTCATTAAGCATGGTCAGTTATACAGAATTCTACATCAAAACAGGTATAGTTCGTAGCGTTCATGTAGAATTCTTTATAAAATGTCAGCTTCAAACTCAGATGGTGGTCAAACTTTGAGTGACTAATTATCTGGTTGAATATTTGTAAGAGTTAGCTAACTTTATTTGTCATTGGATGTGCTTGGATGAATGTGCATTTCTATCTGTTGGGTGTTAATCTGGTGAACACATATCTGACTTAAACCTAACTGAAGAAATACTAGAAATAACATGTAGTCCTAGGCTCCTAGCAACATATAGAGCTTGTGATTTGAACATACTATAAAACTGCTTAGATTTTCTTGGTTTATATATGACCGATCAAGATTCTCCTTTTCACATATAGCATCGTAAACTGAAATTGAAGTTGAAATTTTAGTTGGTGAGATTTGGAATTGTGATAAAACGTAATTGCATCTGCATATACTCCCTCCGTTCCTAAATATTTGTCTTTTTAGAGATTTCAACAAGTGACTACATACGGAGTAAAATGAGTGAACCTACATTCTAAAATATGTCTATATACATCCGTATGTGGTGGTCCATTGAAATCTCTAAAAAGACAAATATTTAGGAACGGAGGGAGTATATGTCATTGGAATTCTTTCTGTCAATTTGATTTTTAACCCATATCATTTGTGTTAAACTCCCAACTGAACTGTCAGGATGATGATGCTGAAACTAAACCTGCAAAGCCATGTCAAGACCGTGAATACGATCCGCCTAAAGCACACAAATACCAATTACAACTAGCTTCTCTTCGAAAGATAAGAATCAGTGGCTTTGCCGGAACGGATGCTGAGATGGAGCTCGCCGATCTTCTTTTCGGAATTGGAGCCGAGCGGTCGGCGCTCGAGAGGATATTTATATCATCATTTGCACAGCTGAAGGATCGCATTGGCAGGATCGCCCAGAAGATGAGGGCTCGGTTCCCTCTTGCAGGAGGGCGCTGGGAAACCTCCCCCTTGGAAGAGATCACGTGGACGAAGAACAATGACGGACTGGAAAGATCAAATGCTCTTAGATCAACAATCATAACGTAGTTGCAGATATATATTGACCAATGGAATGTACTACGTAGCACCTATGATCAGTAGTTGGTGCTTCCTCTCAGTTTTGCTTAAATTCAGATTCTATCTATGCATGTGACATGTTGCATTGTCTTGCATAGAAAATCTTGTGAAATTCCTGTGCTGCAAGCATGTACTCTTTCCGTTTCAAAATATTAGTTGACCTGTTGCGCCAAATGACGCAGAGACCCGCTAAAGACATGTTGTCGATGAAAATAGTTTGATTTTTTGCAAGGACATATGACACAGAGACCCGCTGAATCCATGTGTGCGTTAAAAAAATCCATGTGTTTAGTTGGTTTAGTAACAAAATTTACACCCTTGAATAAAAAAAGAATGGAGACTATCGTCTACAATGAAATGTACACACACATTTTAATTTATCTCTGAGCCAAATGGCATAGAGTTTGATTTGATACCATTGGCGCGTCACAAATATTTGCATTTTTCAATAACTTTATATTTGAGAAAGCGCAAAGACCATGTCAAACCCAAAGTGTTTTGAAAATATTTGACTTTGCTAGTAGAAGTAGGTTTTAGCAACCAGTTAGGATTGCATGCGTATTTTGTTATCTTATTCATGTAACATAGAGCCAAATGACACAAGGTATATGACATACAACTCTACCACGAAGATGTGACGCGATATCTTCCTTAACTTAATTATGTTCAAACACATTTGGAGGTCAAATCCATAATTTGTGTCACCTCCCTGAATTAAAACCCAAAACACCCACCTTGTGCAACATGGCGTTTTTGAGTGGGAAAATTGTTAGCACAAACAAAGTTCAGATGTTACACGTTACATAAGACTTTAGCTTGAGCAACTGTCCTGCTATAGGTATAAAAATTTCCTACTAGTATTAATCACAGCAGCAAACAAGAACCTTCCTGAAGGGCAAACTCCCGTATGCAGTGTTGTCCTCTCATCTGTTTCAAAATTCAACTTGGTGCACACGGGCACTGAAACATTTTATCAATGCACAATAAAATAAAAAACACACACAATGGTCTAGTTGGGAATCCAAACGGTTGACTTTAACGCATCAGCATACACTCAAATTATAGAAAATTTGTTCTTTCCAAAAATGGAAACTAACATCAACAGGTCACATGCTCCATCCGCCATTTGGACTGCTCTTCTCCCCATGCCTCCCCTTCAATCACTCACCATATTAATAACACATGAATACGGAAAAACACTTATGAATTATACTGGTATGCAAAACATAGTATACTCTAAAGCATAGCATTGCCACTAAGTAAGATGGGCACTCTCATATATTTAAAACCAGAAAATATTATAAACTATGTATTCAAGAGATATGGTCTAGAATGGTCTACTATAAAGTATAAACCCATATACTTTCTATCAAAGTTTAGTTTTTGTGAACTATATTGTCTATAAAAGATAGGTCAAATGGTTAAAAACTGACATGTAAACAACAAACACAAACTATAGCCAGTCACCAGTCAACAAAGCCGGGTTTTTTTTGCAAGGCTGACATCACGGCAACCATCACTCATGGCCTGCCTTGGAGGCACAACACGAAGGTTGCCAAAGGTCAGTGCTGCAGGTATTTCTATTCACATCATCAACAGTTTATTTTCTTATGAAAAGAGAAGTTTTAGGAAGTGTCAGCATTTCAGAACGGTTATCCATTTTCTTTCTAATGCAAGAATGTGCATTAACTATGAGTCAAACACTGAACGAAGATTAATGCATTCAACAATTTTGCATTTGTATTAGCTTATATTCATACAGATATATGAACCCTCCAATTAGCCAATTAAATTTGACTGTACATAAACTTTCAGCTACTGCACTAAAACCAAAACAGGAGAAAACACACACACGCGCACGCACACGCACACACACATACACACGCACACACACTCACATATTTTACATTTCCTCCAATATCTGACTGAATATTAAATATCACCCGCTAAGAAAACAAAGAAGTCACATTGAGACTATATAAAGCATTATGTAGAACACTTGGGCCGTACACAGAGCAGAGAGCCTAATGCTTTAACTTTGATGGAGTTCTCAATTTAAGCTTTAAACACTACTATGAAGGAGCTTTACCTGGTTGTAGCACCAGAGTACATGAATCCAAAAAAACTAACCCCTAGAAATAATTCCCAAGAGCCTAGTATTTAGAAACCTATAAGTCTGGGTGAACATAAGATCATTCATACACTCGATCTGCTAATAACTAAGCAACACATAGTAGTTATCTTCGTGCTAGTAAAAAGAGCCAACCAAACAACCAATATGCCTAGGCTTCAAGGAAGAAAAAATTGCCTGAAGGAATAACCTTGGCTGATAATTTATAAATACACCACGAAAATCATCTCCAAGTTTAACAGGTACGTGCTACTTTAAATCAAGAGAACACAAAAGAAGCATGTGTAACATGGTTCTTACCTTCTGCCATTTTGGAAATTATTGTAGGCTGAAATCTATAGCTTCTACTGGACAATGAACATGTGTTAAGAAGACAAGTATAGTTTAGAAAGGTGTGCATAACAAAATATAGAGCGCGCGTCCCCTCCTCCCATTTGTAAGGTACGAACAGTTGTACCTTGAAGCACAATCAACATACAGGAATCATCATCTTCATAAAGTAATAAGTAAACTTGGTCATCCATGCACCAACTGTAGCTTGCTTGCTAATTTCCACCTATGTCACAAATAAGGCAATGTCATGTTCAAACTGAAGGTGGAAGAAGCACACATTCAATTTCTAATTTAATTTAGTACTAATAAAATCTCTATGAAGAAGCAGACCAACTGCTGGAAATAAACTGGCATGGAACTAAATCAGTGTCCACAAAACCATATAGATATGCATGCTCATCAAGCATGTCATACATTTTAACAGAATGGAAGCTTAGCTAGTGCTCGTGCCCTAACTCGAGAACCTCCAGCCCACACAATAGAAATTCGTCCATCTCAGCCATGAATTCACTTAAATAGGAAACAAAATAAATGTTTTCCTCGGACATAGTACACTGAAGAAACAGAAGTATGCAGGCTGAACTGATAAGCCCTTATGACTGAACAAAGCTCATCTGCAAACATCATCATTCTAGGCAAGAAATTAACTGAATAAAGCCCATCCGCAGTTATGACATCAGTCCCTAGTTTTGAAGGAAATATGCCCTAGAGGCAATAATAAAGTTATTATTTATTTCCTTATTTCATGATAAATGTTTATTATTCATGCTAGAATTGTATTACCGGAAACTTAGTACATGTGTGAATACATAGACAAAACATAGTGTCCCTAGTATGCCTCTACTTAACTAGCTCGTTAATCAAAGATGGTTATCTTTCCTAACCATACATAAGTGTTGTCATTTGATGAATGGGATCACATTATTAGGAGAATGATATGATGGATATGACCCATCCGTTAGCTTAGCATTACGATCGTTACAGTTTCATTTCCACTGCTTTCTTCATGACTTATACATGTTCCTCAGACTATGAGATTATGCAACTCCCGAATACCGGAGGAACACCTTGTGTGCTATCAAACATCACAACGTAAAAGTGTGATTATAAAGATGCTCTATAGGTGTCTCCGAAGGTGTTTGTTGGGTTGGCATGGATCAAGATTAGGATTTGTCACTCCGTGTTTCGGAGAGGCATCTCTGGGCTCTCTAGGTAATGCTCATCGCTATAAGCCTTGCAAGCAATGTGACTAATGAGTTAGTTGCGAGATGAAGTATTACAGAACGAGTAAAGAGACTTGCCGGTAACGAGATTGAACTAGGCATGATGATACCGACGATCGAATCTCGGGCAAGTAACATACCGATGACAAAGGGAACAACGTATGTTGTTATGCGGTTTGGCCGATAAAGATCTTCATAGAATATGTAGGAGCCAATATGAGCATCCATGTTCCGCTATTGGTTATTGATCGGAGATGTGTCTCGATCATGTCTACATAGTTCTCGAACCCGTAGGGTCCGCACGCTTAACGTTCAATGACAATTTGTATTATGAGTTATGTGTTTTGATGACCTAAGTTTGTTCGGAATCCCGGATGAGATCACGAACGTGACGAGGAGTCTCAAAATGGTCGAGACGTAAAGATCGATATATTGTAAGGCTATATTCGGACATCGGAAAGGTTCCGAGTGATTCGGGTATTTTTCAGAGTACCGAGGAGTTACGAGAATTCACCGGGAGAAGTAATGGGCCTTATTGGGCCATACGGGAAATAGAGGAGGCAGGCCAAGGGGAGGTGCCCCCCACCCCCACCCCCATGCCCTTTCCTACTCCCTCTCTCCTTCCTTCTCTCCTACTCCTAAAAGGGAAAGGATTCCTACTAGGACTTGGAAGTCCTAGTAGGACTCCATACACTTGGCGGGCCCCTAGGGGGGCGGCCTCTCTCCCTCCCTCCTTTATATACGGGGGCAGGGGGCACCCCAAAGACACAAGTTTCTCTTAACAGTGTGCGGTGCCCCCCTCCACAGTTACACACCTCGATCATAACATCGTAGTGCTTAGGCGAAGCCCTGCGCCGGTAGCATCATCATCACCGTCACCACGCCATCGTGCTGACGGAACTCACCCTCTTCCTCAACTAGATCAAGAGCATGAGGGATGTCATCGAGCTGAACGTGTGCTGAACGTGGAGGTGACGTGCGTTCGGTACTTGATCGGTTGGATCGCGAAGAAGTTCGACTACATCAACCGCGTTATTGAAACACTTCCGCTTTCGGTCTACGAGGGTACGTGGACACACTCTCCCCTCTAGTCTATGCATCACTTAGATAGATCTTGCGTGATCGTACGGAATTTTTTGAAATTACCGCGTTCCCCAACAGTGGCATCCGAGCCAGGTTTATGCGTAGATGTTATATATGCACGAGTAGAACACAAAGAGTTATGGGCGATAATAGTCATACTGCTTACCAGCATGTCATACTTTGATTCGGCGGTATTGTTG